ATCAGAAAGAAAGAAAGAAAGAAAGAAAGAAAGAAAGAAAGAAAGAAAGAAAGAAAGAAAGAAAGAAAGAAAGAAAGAAAGAAAGAAAGAGGGAGGGAGGGAGGGAGGGAGGGAGGAAGAAAAAAGAAAGAGAAAGAAAGAGGAAGGGAGAAGAAAGAAAAAGAAAGGGAAAAAAGAAAAAGAAAGGAGAAAGAAAGAAAAAGAAAGAAAGAAAGAAGGAAAGAAGGAAAGAAAGAAAGAAGAGGATGAAGAAAGAAAAAGAAAGGTAAAGAAAGGAAAGAAGGGAAAAAAGAAAGGAAAAGAAAGGAAAAAGAAAGAAAGAAGAGGAAGGAAGGAGAGACAAAGAAAAAAGAGGAAGGGAAAAAAGAAAATTAAAAAAAAGGAAGGAAAGAAGGAAGGAAGAAGAAAGAAAAGAAAAAGGAAGGAAGGAAGGAAAAGAAACAAAGAAAAAGAAGAAGGAAGAGGAGAAAAAGGAAGGAAGGAATAGAAACAAAGAAAAAAAGGAAGGGAGAGAAAGAAAGGGAGGAAGGAAGGAAAGAAGGAAGGAAGGAAGGAAGGAAAAATGAGTTTCGATGACAATCAGTAAAGAGTCACATTTTCTGGAAGACTGAAGAAGAGAAGAAACCAGCAACCAGATCAGAACTGATCTAGTCAGGGGCTCTCCAAATTTGGCAACTTGGAGATTTCAACTCCCAGAATTCCTTAGCCAGCCATGGGGGATCCTGGGAATTGAAGTCCACAGCCTCCTCTAAATTTCTGGCAAAAACTGGCCGCTAGTCCTCTGGAGCTGGTTCTCCAAGCAATGCTGGTCTCCCCCTACAAAGACTCCATTCCCAACCCCCTGCCCATTACTACTCAGTTCCGTCTAAGCGGGGGGTCCCCAAACTTGGCCAACTTTAAGACAAGTGGAGTTCAACTCCCAGAAGTTGAAGTCCACACATCTTAAAGTTGGACAAGTTTGGAGACCCCCCCGCTGGCCTAAACTCCGATCCCTGGAACCAGAACAACCAACCGATGCCGTTAGGGGAAGATGGGAGCTTTCCAAACTCACATCCTCCGTCACAAATTCCTTGCTCAGGCCGAAGTCGGTCAGCACCACGTGCCCCTCGTTGTCGAGCAAGATGTTCTCCAGCTTCACGTCCCGATAAATGATGCCAAGCTGAGGAACGAGAAAGACAACCCCTTGGCCCCTTGTGCCGACAAAACCACAATCATCTGACGGTGAATTCATGAAGCAGCGCAGTTTATAATGGGGTTGTTAGATGAATCACCCATGGTCCTTAAGTGAGACATCATATGACCCTGACTCTGCAACATTCCCTGCCGGCTTCCCCCCGTTTGGTTCTCGGAAGCTGGCTTCAAAGGTCAGAAATGGTGATCAGGGTGACCCAAGGCCACTGTTATCATTGTACCACTTTTGCCAAGCGCTCAAATCACAGCACCGTAGGGGGAGGTGTCATAAATTGGAGGGTCATAAATTGGAGGGCCGGCCATAAGCCTCTTTTACCCCCCCCCCCCACCCCCCCCCCAGTGCTGTCATCACTTCAAACAGCCAAGAAACGTACGGTCGTAACTCAAGGACTACTTGCAATAAGATTTTAACGGCTGCATCTTGCAGCAGGAACTTTGGCATGTGAAACTTATCCAAGCCAACATTCCCTATCAATGCTGGCTTAGAGGAATCAAGTTCAAGTTAAAGGAATCTATTCCATTCTACATTCTATACTCTATTCTATTATTCTA